GCCTCCAGCTACCCCTTCTTCAGGAAGGTGCCAACTTCGACAAATGCATGCCTATTATTTCCAGGTATCTTGTAATGACTTAATCAGATGAGGGGGCTGTGGTGGCGGGACAAAATATGGGAATGGTAGAAACAGTTGTGACTTGCCAAAGGCAACAGGTGATGTGCTTGTTTTGTTGGGTAAGTGGAGCGTCGCTGCGTTTACAGTAATGGCTTTGGTTGAAACATGACTGTCAGTGGAAAATATTTTTGTATTTAGTTTCCTCTGACAAGCAGTTGAAGAACGACCACGCATACTCTAAGCTGTGTTGTCAGGAAACTGCTGATGCATACAGCTGTTCTGGGTGACTCTAAATATGACTAAAATGTGGAAATATCAGAATAGTGTTTGATATGTTTCACACAGGCGTCTGATCAATGCCATCAAGTTCTCCAGAAGTCAAATATAGAAGTCAGTTGTAAGCCAGAAGGAATGTCCTACAACATGCAGGACAGTGGTCCTGAGGACAAATGTCCACTGTCCTGTCCTGCAACACAGTTGGCTATATTTTGCAAATATAGCCAACTGTGTTATTGCAATTTGTAGACTTTTTAGATGTGGTTTAAAGGGAATTGTGTTTGGGGAGCAATTATATATCTTTGTTTATCTTTCTGACTTTGTCACGCTTTATTTCTAACCTGCTGAGTTCTTCTCCATGTCTGTTTTGATTCTTCAGCTTCATTTACAAAAGTTCACAACATGTCAGAGTATAGTGATTGACTCAGTCCTGAACCTCCAAAGACGTATAAAGATAATTACAAAGTTGGCCTTCTTTCACCTGAAGAACATGTCAGGGATGTACATCCAATCAATGATAAGGAAAATAAATAGTGCTACTGGATTGGCTGCAAAGGAGCTGAAATGTTTAGTATTTCAGTTGAAATGCTTAGTATTTCTGGAATGCACAGTATTTCATAATTCTGAAATACTATAATACTAAGCATTCAGCTTTCCAAGTTCCATTTCCTTTCTAATATTTTAGAAATGCTCTACAAAGAAATCCATGAACAGACATATTTTCTTTGAATAGTTGTGACTTGTGTTCCATAGATAAATCCACAAATAGGTGAATCTGTGAATACACCTATTCACAGATTATGAAGTTGGGAGTTTTAATTTACCAACAACTGACCTCAGACTCCAGTGGATATGCTTTCGCTCACCCCTGTCCGTCTGGAATAGCACATGCGTTGACAGTGCTTTATTCCTGTCCATTATTTTACCTTCAATTAGGTAGATTGATGTCTCCCGCATCAATTAGGGCACATCTTGAGTTCCGCTGGTCTTTTCCATCAGCGAGAGCAGGTGATATCTTTTCACCTAAATCCTAATGACACCTCACTCTCTTTGTATTGCCATGTGCTACTGTGCCAGCTAAGGTGTCAGGCCAGCTGAAAAGAAAGTGTCTTCATCCAAATGGTATCGGGCTTCTCTCCTTGGGGATCAATAGATCTTCTTTGTACGTTGGCCAGCTCAATAATTCATGACCACCTATTTAAAAATGCAATGAAGTAGCTGTCACTTAGCACACTCTCTCTGCTCTGGCTCTGGATTGTGATCCCGCACGAAAGGCCTTGCTTCCTGTCAGTGACTCAGTCTTTCTGCGTAACCTGAGCGCAGACTTCACGCCTCCCCTGCCACCTTCCTCTTGCTGGTTCTCGCCTGGCTCTGGGGTGTGTAGTTACCATTTGGACACTTGATCTTAGGCTTTGCTGGTTTCCTTTTCTCAGCTCCATGATTAGACCCTATAGTGTGTCAAACTCCCTGTTTGACACCTCAGGTTGGGTATCTGTCTGCATCATGACTGTTTCGAAGAAGACAGTTCTTTTATTCTGCTGTAGTTCTTTGTAGGTAAAGTGAGGTAGGAGTTCTTTCTTGTAATGGTAAAATTCAAAAGTTGTGATCAGATTGAGGATGTTTTGTAATTGACAAAACATTCATGTACATCTATATGTACTGTTAACTTTTATTTATATGAGGACTGTAGCTCCTTACTTGAGGTATAAATTAATAAAATCTTAAGGCCTTGATCAAATCAAAAGCATTTTAAAATGATTAGCATATTAAAACATTGTCAACCTGAACAATCAACTTTTATTTAACTTAAAATATTTTATGGAACCTAGATCTCTTTAGCTTCATTTATTAAAATGTTTACTTTTACCTTTTCGAAGGATAAAATATTCATTTTGAATTATTACCTTCAACTGCATTACATAATGCAAAAATGGCATGGTTAAACATAAAATTTCATTTTAAATATTTAGAACATTAGTTTTGACTAATTTGTAACATCTGATTTAGAGAGAAAATCTTTGTGATTGGTCTTGCATCAACACTGTTGCCACCTGTCACAAACTCTTGGATGGTTTCCAGCCCATGAGCACTTTGTTAATGATGTCAGAATACGGGTCACTTGGTGACAACCACTAAATCATTCACCTGTGCTTTAAGTGACTGACGTGCTGGAATCAATTTAAAGAAAGACGTAAATCTCAAATCATTCCTGAAAATAACATGCCTGGAAGACTTTTCACCCGATAGTCTTTCTGTGATGTGTGCTGTTCACATATCTGAGATTTTTTGGTGAGAAATTTAAACTCGCCAAGTGTAAATTTACAGACCCATTCAATATATTAGAATATATTTAAGAAGCCATTGAATAATAATAAAAACATGACATTTAAGATGACTATCAGATCAGACCAATAAAAAACTATTTTTTAAAGCAGAAATGTGGGCTGAAAGAAAAACATCACAGCTTAAAAGTTATTGTTGGAGCCTGTTGAGTATTAGATTAATGTAGCATTTGCTAAATGGCAGATGTTATTCACCCAAAGTTATGAATGGTAGATCTATTTTTTTGTTTGTTTGTTTAGGGCCTCCTCCTAGTCATGTCTGAGTCCTGATGTCATTGACAAGAAAAGGCAGCTGCTGTTTTTGGTCTGATTGTTTGCAGTGAAGAAGTGAAACAATTTTTCTACCACAAAATTAATGTTTATGTTATGTTTTGTTTTTTTTAGTTTTCTACCAAAGCCTTTTAGGCTCGACTCTATGAAAGTATGAGTTTAAATGGTGACATTTAAACTCAATGTCACCATTCAAAGACCTTGCCAGTTCAAAGTCCATGCCAGTTTCTACTTATCAAAATTATCAAAGCATAAGTTCTTGAGTCAAGCTCTCACAACTGTGGACGCTCTTTTCAGGGGTCTGTTGGTAATTCCACAGGGTTTCTTTCACATCCAAGTCATGGAATGTTGTGGTGACTCGGTTGAGTCAAAAACAGTGGAACGCTGTATTCCTGAGAATATTTCAAAGTTGTTTATCTTTTCTGTCATGATTTATTCTGTTTACATTTATCCGTTGCTCCGTCCCAGAGCATTGTGTTTTCTTGTCAGAAGTAGGAAAAGCTTTACTTCCTGGATCACTTGACAAGTAACTTGGGGAGGCTATGGCCACAGTTCAAAGACTCGTCATAGTGAGAACATGTATCATTCTGTAAGTAGATACAATGTTAGAAAAGGAAATATTACACTGATTGAGCAGATGTGATCCACAATTAAGCTTCTTATAATATTTCGACCATTTCAGTTCAAAAATTATTTCTAATAGTTCCTTATGTCACTCATCAAAGAGGAGCTAAACTGTACAGATGATTTCAAGAAATTTAGACTCGTGGGTCACAGTGTGAATTACATTAAATAGATGTGTTTAAACCTTAAGAGAAGTTGTGGATTTGTCTTTTATTGACTGATGCCGTGAATGCCACATTCACTATACTGTTCTTTCCCTCTAAAAAGCTTGGAGTGAAAGACGAGCTTTTAGTCTCAGTCGGAATCTATTTTTCTTCCAGCTACGCACTAAAGTACCAGATGATGAGACCCAGACTGATTCTGAACAACAAAACATATCAGCGTCATTTGTAACATCTGTGAAATCAATGTAGATTGCTTAATATTACATTCTAAACATTGAGGCTCATCAAACCACCACTTCGCCAGGTTTTCATTCACGACATCTTGCGTACATCCTGTTGTGATTCTTTCACTCCCTGCCCTTCTAACCTCTATTAATCACATCAGAAATTTCCCAGTTTTACGGAAAGCCAGTGCTTTTACTGGATATTTTGTTTTCGCCCCAAAGTTACCTAAATCAAATTTATATTGGGGAAAATGCTTTAGTTAGATGTCTTTTTTTAAATAGACCTTTAGCATCAGTTTGTGAAATTAAAGATTACATAATCATAATAATCATCCCCCTTGAAACACAAACTGAAATCATTTTGTATTTTATTTGAAATTATGTGATACCCCAATACAAACTAACACATAGCTGTAGTGGTACTCTTTGAAGACTAGATGTTTTCAGAGAACATTAATGAACTAATGACAACAGAGACCAGAGAAAACACTAATGAAGAAACACATAAGTATCAAAAATAAGTTATTGAAAGTGTACATGGTGTACAAGGAAATTTGTCATCCGCTCTCTCTAAATATTAAAGAAAAAAATAAATATTTTGCACATAACTGGAGGCAGACATAACTATGAAGTTAGAAAAGATAATCCTTTATCATCCCATACCTAAGAAGTTCAGGTCTGCCAGAAGTTGAAGGTAAATAAAAGTATGCATTTTTGAAGACAAAGAAGATGTATGTAAAATAAGAATAAGAAACTGCGAAATTGCAAATTTACAACATAAGAAAAATACTACTGCACAGTTATTAAAAAATGGCATATTATGTTCAAAAGAAATGTGTAACTTAGTGGAGTAATATTGAAAATTCTGAATAACTTTGCATGTCTAGAAGAAAACATCAACAATGAAAAGCATGTAAATAACAGCAGGAATGTAAACTCTTATTGAGTTTGACACTGTCTTATTGAGTCTGAGTAAATATTTGATATTTGACAGGTTAGCAACATTTTATTTAGTTGAATTTGCTGTGCTTTAATTGCAGACGCTGAGCGACAGGCCATTCATCCAAAAACTGTTTCGCCCTGTTTCGCCTGACTGCAATGCACACACACTTGGCGACCTGCTGAAGGAGATGTATCCAGATGCTTTAACAAATGATGGTAAGCAATCAAGCAGCGATTTCAAGCATTACCAGCTAACCGCTAAGTACTTTTGTCTGATTTTTTTTTAATTACATGTAAGTTGTGTTACTCTTGATAAAGAAAATGGAAAGGACTCTCCTCCAGGTTATTTTATTTGTAGGAATTTTTGATATCTAATTTTTTTTATAAAGCTGCTTGAGAACAAAGATGAGGCTTAATAGTAAGCGTAATGAAAGTGAAAGGAGGGAACGTGTGGAAAGCTTAGGTATGACAAGAATTTTGACTTTTCCACCTGAGATGTAACACACTTAGCTATCAAGGATGGCTAAGTGTGTCATTTATTTTCACATCAAGGCTTCCACCAACACTCACTCAGAGGACAGCCGAAAATACATTTAAGCTTTATGTGAAGTTTACAATATATTAGAAATCTAGACCAAGCTTTGCAACTACTGGTGTCAAAATACTTCAGGTGACGACTACTAAAAATGCAGGTCAAATCGACTTTATAGACACCCAACTATGAAACTGAGTTGGTAAAAAAAACCTCCCAAGTTCTATTCCATAAACAACTGGCTCAACATTCAAAGTTGAAGAGTGTTAAGTTTGATGTGGATGAAAATCTAACAATAACTTCACTGAAAATTTGAAAGCAATGTGAAGTCAAATATTACACATTCCTCTTTATCACCTCCTAAAACTGAAATTGTTTAATTATAACTAGCTTTTCAGTTAGTTCACATGAAATACACAGTTCCAAAGTCAAGTTTTATAATATATTATTGTTGAATAAGCTGAGGAAATATGAATGCATCACATTTTTCTCACCCTTATCTCATTCTCCTTGAGCTTTAGCACACTGGTTTATCTCAGGCACAAACATCCAACTGCATAGCACATTAAATATAAGCTGTAACCTTTAAGAGAAATATGGTGACGAATTAATATTACATGCTTTGTAATCTCATGAACCCCTTTAATATATAGCATTAAAAAAATTAAGTACTAATTTGTAGGCTTGTCATAACTTGTTTTGCTGAATGATGAACTGTTTCAGAAATTATTTTGAAATGTAATACTATAATAATAGTAATGCAAGTTCCCTCTCTCAAAAGCCAACTTGCATTTTGTAGAAAACACTTAACACTGAAACTGGAAGATATTTGAAATATCCAAAATAAAACAAAACAAAAACAGAAATAAAAACTACAACCGCAACCATCAATTCTATTGATTGTCTCAGAACCAAAATATATTAATTAGAATGGATATGATCAAACTAATATTATAAAGTTTATTATATGTATTTACTTATTATATGTATTTACTTGCACGTTACCTAGTGGTATTAGTAGATCTTTGGTCATCTGAACACCTGAATCCAGTGATTCCTCTTTTTTCACTTTTGGTTCAACTTGTTTTTTCCAAATAAACTATCCAGGTTTTTAAAATAAAAAAGGTTTTAAATCTAGTTATTAAAACAGTAGACAGTTACCATGAGTGATTTGAATAAATTAGTTTTTACTGTAATTTTATTGATCTGCATAAAACACACAAATGGTAGTAATTGAACCGTACCTGTTGTTTCCTGGTTTCTAATTATATTTGGACAGCAGATGGAGCTTTTAAGTTCTGTGGGTTTCTGGTGAACCTTGGAGTTGCAGCTGGAAGGGAGGAGAGCTAATGATGAAAGAAGAGATGAGAGGAAAGGGATAGAGAAAGGCCAAGCAGCAGTCAAAACAGAGAGTGTCTGCAAAAGAAGAGAGGGGAAGTAGATAAAGAGACAATAGTATGTTGGGAGTACAGACCCGCAGGAGACTCACCTGCACATAGGCGACAACCATTAACACCGCCTTCTCTTGTCTGTCTGCCTACCTGTCTGTCTAATAGCCACTGATTTTGTGTCTCCATCCAGCATCTCTTTGCTTATATCTCACACTCACTTTCATATCCAGAACTGAAAAACCTGGCCAGATTGTAAGATTTTTACTCAGTTATATCAGCTTCTCATCGTCAGAAAATATTTTATTTGGTTTAATACAGCAATAATACTTATAGAATAGATTTTGTAGAAGTAGGAGCTGTGTGGCTCAGTTGGTAGAGCAGTTGGACTCATCAATGAAGACGTCTTGTTGTCAGTTCTCAGATTACATGTGAGATTACTGTTGGATGAAAGGGCACCAGTTCCAAAAAGCACTCCTCAAAAACGGCAAAGAAAATGTGTTTTGAACTTGTGTCACTAAAACAATTGTGTCCTATGTCGCAACATTTCTGTTGGTCACCTTCATGGTTCATTGCTCACTTAAGTTTTAATTTATTTATTTAAATGGGACAACACATATTGATGAACGTATAATGTTGTATCATAGTGCTTGATACCAAGCACCTTGAGCCTTTGAATGACCCAAAGCTCAAGTAGACCACATGTGATTTTTGTCTGCTCCAATGAAAAGTTACTAATTTGAACAAAGAAATCCCTTTTCTCTAGGTAAGTCTGGAACCAGTCAAGTACTGAACCACAGAGTCCAGTCGCTTCAATAATATGTCATGGTCAATAGTGATGAATGCTGCAATGAGGTTCAACAGATTCAACACTGTGGTTCTTCCAAGGTCTGCTTTTATGTGGATGTTGTTGAACACTTTGTCCAGAGCAGTCTCAGTGCTGTGGTGAGCACAGAAGCTAGACTGGAAGACGTCAAAGCGGTTGGTTATTGTTAGGAAGCTATTTACTTTCCATTCATTTATTGATAAATAGAAAGTTACGATTGGCCAGTAAATGTTCAATTGTAGATTGTCCAAATTAGTCTCTATTTTTTGTATCAGTGGCTTGATAACTGCAGCTTTTAAAGCCTGGGTGAAAACAGCTGATGAGTTTATTATTTGAATCGGATCAAATGCAATGACAAGAGAAAACTTGAAGGAAAGTTGTGGATATGATATCAAGACAGTAGGACGAGGAGTTTAACTGACATATAATTAAACATTATATTGTTGATTTTGTAGAATTGTGCCATTTTCCCTATTTGTTTTAATTGGTCATAGCATTTATGCTGCATTTGATATTGATGTACAGATTAAACCCTCTATAATCATTTCACTTTCCTCTGTGATGAATTTGCATGCTCAGCCATGCTAGAGTGGAGTTCAGATCCTAGAGTCACAGGAGGGTTTGGTAATCAGGATTATTGATTATTTTATCATTTATGTCACAGAAGAATATATCAGTTGCAGGTTTTTGTGTTAAGTAATTTGTTCACAGTTTTCCCTTGTAGATTTAGCAGTGAACCTTTAGTCGAGTGTTCCGCCATTTGGCTAATTGCTACTTTCACTTCTTACTAGTGAACCACTTTTCCACAGAGGCATCTTCGTAACAGATACAACATTCACTTTAATGGGAGCAGTGGAATCAACAACGTCTGACATTTTAAAAAGGAAGTTATCTACCAACTCATCTACAGAGTGGCATGCTGAAAGGGAGATAGGAGAGTAAACTTGATTGACATTTTCATAGACCATTCTTGCACTGGCATTTATAAATTCAGGCCGGATTAACAACCCCCAGTTTCCATTGCAAAAAGGATTTACAAATGGGGATTGCTGTTTGCAGCACTGTTTATAAACACAGAAAGTAAGTTAAGGACGAAACTAAATAATATACAACCAATATTAGTGTATTTGTTTCCATGGATGTCATTGTTTGGCTGTGTGGGAACAGTGTGGATCCCTGCATTTTTAGATAAAAGGCTAAATTAAACAGGTTGTTGTGTAAAGATCATTATATGTTATGAGGAGAATTCATCTCCTCATAACATATTTCAATGGTTTCATAGAAACAAATGTTTTTTTTTGTTGTTGTTTTTTTTCAGCAACTAAAGTGTTTTTATCGTACAATGCTTAGACTTGGATTCCGGTTTGTAGTAAAAGCTGTTTAGTTTAGGCTCTTGGCAACAAACCATTCAGCCAACGCTTGAGATGGTCTCTAAACAGTAACATCTGCTAAACACTATGATCTTCTTGAAGGATATTTTTAACCATGTGATGGATGGTTTTACAGCCCCTGATTTGTTTCAGTCCTGTTACTCTTTATATATTTAATTGGGACTGAATTGCTAAATTTTTATCTAGCGTGAATATTTCCTGGAAAGAAAAATAGCATCTTACTATTTTTTTTCTACTTTTTTTTTTTTTTTTTTTTTTTTACCTTGATCTAACTTGTTTTTATTCTTTGATGCTATATCTCTGTCTCAGGTGTATTCTTCAACATGTTCTGTCTGCTGTGGATGCCTTTTATGTCTTTGAGTTTAAATCTCGGCTTTTCTTTTCTCTCCTCCCTCCAGAGGAGTCTGCCACCCTGCCTGGTTGATCAAGGTGAAAGTGGCCCTTTTGTCTAAAGACGTTTGTTTGGTTTCCTCCTCTTCCTCGGGTGGTAGATGGGTTGGATGATAGCCAAGGATTATGGTGGCGTGTTTAGATTAGAGAACCCAGAGAAGTGTGTTCAGAGACTTTGTAGAGCGGTGGCGTTTTAAGGGAGTGGTTAGCAGGTATTGTTCATAAGTTCAGAGAACTTTTTTTTTTTTTTACTTTTTTATCTCCAAGACCCTAACATATAACAATCTGGGTGCTCTACATGTCTGTGATCTTTCAAACATGAAATAACAACCCTTTCTTTCAAACACGCTCCCTCCCTGTTATGTCTGAGAGGATTTCTATTGACCCCTCTGGGACCCAGAAACCAGTTGCAGCATACAAATAGGGGTGGCTTGCATTAAGAACTGAAACGACAGGGGATTCCCAAATCTTTTGAAAGCCATGGACAAAAGTCTGTGTTGCCGTGAGGCTACCCCCGCGCAGCGTGAACCAAACTCAAAACATCGCGTTCCTGTAAGCAGTGGTCAGCTCTGACGTGTGTTCATACTGTCTCATGTATTTAGTTTTTCTGAATGCAGGTGTGTTATTGAGCAAGATTTTGGCAGAACATTTTGGGTTTACTGCAAAATTCAGGCAAGAGGGCAGTACTT